GGGGGGATGGGAACACGCCATTGAGTTGCATCAAAATATCAAAATATACATTAAAAAAACAAAAAACAACAACAGGTAAACAATAGAGTAATGAGCAACGGGAGGCATATAAATAATAAGCACGTCCATGAACACCATCAACCCACCCGTCTTCCCCCGAACACAGCGTACCCTTATCACGACCGTATCGGGCCGGAAAGGTGGCTCACATTCATTCATTAAATGAGGGTACGTTGTATTGGGGTGAAGACGGCAGTCTTTATAAGACGACAGGCAAATCTCTCGATCTCGTCGACACACAACCAACCAAACAGGGCCGCGCTCCACCGCTCACCAAATGCGGAAAATTATAGACTGAATCTTCCACTGGAACATGGACAGATCCAGCGCCATAATTTGTCCATAATTTGTCGTTTGTCCACGTGGCAAGTGGTGGAGCGAGACCGACAGTCACACTCTTCCAGACAGACATTTAATTAACGCGCAAAGGGGAGGCAGGCGGTGCGCGCGCGCGCGCTCTCTCTCACCTCTTCGACCGTCCTCCTCCCAGCCCTCCCACCGAGCCGAACTGGAATCACCGAAGCGTTTATCTCTTCCCACGTGTCCTTCTTAAAAACGTCTGTCCCGATAGCTTCAGACCGACCACCGCACACAAGTCCTCGTTGGCATATGATGATAATCTACTTCCTCCCCCGCACCTTTCGCGCGTGACAACTGCCTGCTACCCTTCCCCCTCCTTCCCCCTCCCTCCCCCAGCAACTCCCACTCCTCCCAACGAGCCAATCTGGAATCACCGAAGCGTTTATCTCTCGCCACGTGTCCTTCTTTCACCGTGTCCCGATCGCTTCAGAACGACCACCGCACACAACTTCTTGTTCACATATCATGATTGCTGAACGAATCAACCCCCCCCCCTGCTCGCGCACGAGACTGTTGACATATCATCAACGAAGCACCCTCTCGCGCGCAATACCTCCCCGCGACCCCGGCCCCTCCCCCTCCCC